CCCAGTGTTTGATCAATATATATAACTGTACATGTGAATTCCAACATTAATTTTTTCTTGAATTTAAGGTGGTGCAAATTACATGTGGTGGTTGGCGGCGTCCATATTCATATTATCTAGGTGATCTGCCAGAGATTATGAACTGCTTTTCTTTTGTTAAGGTATGTTCTTGAGTTGCAACATTATGTACCTTTTGATACCATATTCAGTTTTGTTTAGCTTTGCTAACAAAAATAAATTCCGATCGGTTTCCAATAATGCAAAGGTTTTATCAAGATGTCGAATTGGATTGGACTGGAATTGGGTTTATGTGTTTGTTAGTCAGTGAAGGAAACTCAGCTAAGTCATCTTTGGGAATGAGTTTTTGAAAAAATAAAAGAAACATCTCTGTATTCTTTTCAAGTACAAGTAGCTTTTTGAGAAACTGACTTTCAGCTTTTGGAATGGTTTGCCCTAATTTCCTACCATCTCTGTCAAACAAGAACTATTCCTGAAGTTATTGCCGAAAGAAGAGCTTCATCTTTTATTGGGCCAGGATATTAATGGTTGGGGCATGATAATTTAGAATAAGGCCTGTGCTTGATACTAACCGGCACACATTCTTAAAGAAAGTATCGTCTAAGGCCTTCACTACTTTCTCACTTTCATGGTGTAACCTACTGATTTCATTTGCATATGGAATTGGTTTTGTTTTTATATTTGTAACATTACTTCTGTCATGTTTTAGACTCATATATATAATATCATCCAGTATTGCTGAGTCACTCTCTTCTGACAGGATGATACCATATATATTCATAGGAACTGGGTGCCTGAAGTTGATAGGCACATGTATCGACGAAATATCCATTTCCAGTTTCATGGGAGGGAGATACATTCCTTGTGTTTTATTTCTGGATGTAGTTTGTGTAGTTCAGATGAAGATCAGGAATTGGATTCTGAAGAATCTAGTTGGGTTGCAACCGGTTGTGAAGATGGAACTGTGCGATTAACTAGGTATGTAACCTATATGCCATTCATCATTCATGAGGCATCTGAAATGACCTTTGACAAGTTGAGTTCCTTAATATGTACTCCTAGCTCTTTGCTCTTTGGAAATTAATAAGCTAATGATTGTTTCAGGTATGAATCAGGTATGGAGAGTTGGTCATCTTCCCAGCATCTAGGAGAACATGTTGGTGGATCAGCTGTACGTTCAATATGCTGCGTGTCAAAAATGCATGTATTCGTTCCCGATTCCATTGCCATTCCAAATCTAGTTGACCGACAAATTGGGTCCTTGGAGGAAAAAGATCCTTCTATACTAATATCTGTTGGTGCCAAGCGGGTCATAACTGCATGGAAACAAATGATTAATATGCACAACAAAAGGTTGGTCACTACATGCAGTCGGTCAGGCAAGAAGAATGAAAGTGACTTGACAGACCCATCTACAGCAACATCTTCATTCTCTTTCCAGTGGCTCTCTACCGATATGCCATTCAAACAAACTAGTTGTGTGAAAAGACAAAATGCTAAGGAACCTTTTGAAAAAGATAGAGATCTTAGCATCAAGTCAGATGCTATCTCTGTTGAAATGCCTTCTTCAGATTACAGAAATATGGAGCCAAACATCTGCCCTGAAAATGACGGAAATGACTGGAGATACCTAGATGTTACTGCTTTTCTTGTTAAAAAGACTGGGTCCAGGTTTGTTTGAAGTAAAAAATTAAGTTCCTTAGATCATCCCTGGCTCTTGACAACCAGCATGCAGTGAATTATCATAACACTAGTTATAAATTGTCTTCTCCAGGATTTCCGTCTGTTTCGTTATTGTTGCTTGTTCAGATGCCACGGTTACACTAAGGGCTCTTGTGTTGCCTTTTCGGCTTTGGTACGTGCTTGAGCTGCCAAATTACTTGTTTCAAGGACGTTCCTAAACTTTCATTTTTTAAAGTGGGGGGAAGGAATCTCTTTTCTCAAGTATTTGTATCTAGAAACAACTTTAATCACTAGTTACCCCATTGAAAATATGTTCCTAGCACTTCTAAGCTTAGTAATTATTTAACTTTGTCGACACCAACTTCATTACAGGTTTGATGTTGCTTTGTTCACTCCCTTGTCATCGCCCGTGCTATCTCTGCAGCATGTTGTCATTCCAAAACTGTTACCTTCTAAAGGTCAGTTGTGATGGGTAATTTAATTCAACCATGTCAAGAGTTTCTAGATTTACTTTTCCATTTTGAAAGTATTTTCTGCAGATGATTTAACAAGGCCCTGCTATGGAAGTATCGAAATGCATGTGTTTGGGTTTAAATAGGTCAAAATCCATAGGTTGACGTTCGATTTTAGAAAACTTGTTCGTTCATTTGTTTCAAATGTGAAAAAGGCAAACTAATGACATTTTTGGGCCGACTATGCAAACCAAGCATAACTTGTTTACCTTCTGGAGCTATCTTTTTGACCAACTGTTCATGTGCAATGAGATGCAGAATGATCGAACACAATAATACACACTAGATAAGGTTATATACTAGTTTTCCCTGTATTGCTAGCACACGGTGTCGTCATCATATCTAGTATGATGTTATAATGCTTCATGTGTTTGTCTTGTTTTTCTACTTTGTTTCTGTCTTCCTTCAACTCGGTGAGATACTGTAGCAATTCTTCATGTAGGGCTACTCCTGAAACTTCTTTATGTTTGAGCTATTCTGTTTTTGCTGTTTTCTCAGGAAATATACAAATTGGAAATATTTACTTTGCATTTACTGGATCTACTGATGGAAGTATTGCAATCTGGGATCTGACGGAATCAGTTGAAAATTTTATGCGGCAAACTTCATGCCTTAAAATGGAAAGCTGCATGGAAATCAAGAAAAGGCCTCGTACTGGTAGGGGAAGCCAAGGGGGTCGACGGCGGCTATCCATAGGCAACTATAATGCCAAGAACAAAGTGAGCCATAACATTTCACAAGATATAACACAGACTGTTTCAAAATCTATTGGAAGAACAAAATTGGGGAATGAAATAGAAAATGATATGTGTGAGACTTCTCTTTCTGAAAAGAGTAATTCCCGCCGCCCTTTCCAAGTTGCCGATGAGGGTTCATTTGAACTGGGAAGAAAAAAAGATGATTTATCACCAGAAACTACTGTGTTGGTAGCTTTGCAAGTCTTAGATAATGTTCATCAATCTGGGGTTAACTGCCTCTCTGTCACGGATATTAAGGACCTCAGACTCTCTGGGTCAAGCTGTTCTTTCTGTGTTGTAAGTGGAGGGGATGATCAGGCAATTAACTGTCTTAGATTTGATTTGCAATTAAATCATTTGAGAACGAGCTCTCAAGATGGGACTGCAGAAGTGTCTACAAACTATCAGAATCAGCATTTTGTGATCCAAGATCATCAGATGCATTTTTTATGTCTCGATAAGATCGTTTCTGCTCATAGCTCTGCTGTCAAAGGTATATGTGTTTGTGTGTTGGTACCTGTTTCACTTTTTTTTTAAAAAAAAAAAGAATCTGATTTTCATTTCTCTATTACTTCGATAGGATTTTTTTTTTCTTTTTCTTCTTTTGGACAAATAAAAAGGAGCTGTAGGACTTGTTTTTTTTTTT